CCGCTGCGCCCCCTCCCCGGCTCCGGCTCCCGTCTCCTCCCGGGCACCAGCGCGGGGAAGCTTCCTGTTCTCTTTTGCAGCCGCTCGTTGCCTGGGGTGGCACATCTGGGGGAGGGGGACTCACTGTGCAGAGTTGGGAGTGGGTGTGCATGTAGGTACCCAGCTGGGGCGGAAGTTTCCGTGTTGTGTGTGCCCACGGGGCGTGGATGTGCCTGTGTGTGCCCATCTATGGCTCTGTGTGGCTTTCTGGGGGTGGGTGCACCCGGATGCGCACATCTGGGGGAGGGTGCACGCATGTTCACTTGCCTTGTGTGTGCAGCCCCGTGTGCGCCCACCGGGGTGCACATACACTAGTGGCTGGTTGAATGGACACAGTAACATGGGACCATCTGTAGACATCAGTGTTTCGTGACTGTGCACACGTCTGTGGGTGTCTGTGTGCACAATCTGGGTGCATCTCGGTGTGTATTTGTTACCATGGATGCATGTACCGGGTGTGTATGGCTTGTATGGGTTTGTGTCTTTGAGGAGGGGGTCCTGACCTCTGGCTCCTCCCACACTCCTGCAAGCTAGGCTGGGGACCCCCCGGGACAGGGCCCTCAGAGTGGGATGGGAGAGTGGCCGGTCTGACCTTGACCTCAGGTCCCCTCCATTTTCCACTCTGATCTGAGTCTGCTGGGGCCAGGCTTGGATGGTTCTAGTTCCAGGTTGGGAACATAGAAGAGGGTCCAAGTATGGCGTTTGTGGGGGGAAGGTCTTGGCCCTGGAGACTCCAGGCCAACTCCCCGCAAGCCCAAGCTCCTCCAGACCAGCATCACCCCCTTCCCCCAAGGGCCTCCGTTCCTCCTTGGACGGGCTGAGAGAGAGGCCGTGGCCAGGAGCCAGGTGTCCTGACCCTACCTGGGCCTCAGTGTCCCCCTCCGCTGGCCCGGGCAGCTGCCTGGCCTGTGCAGAAGGTGCAGACTGCCTGCCCAGGGAGCTGGTGGTTTGGCCATCAGCCACTCTTCCCACCACACCAGGATTACCCCCCCACCCCCCCCCCCCCAGGGCCACCATCGACCAGCCTGACCGCCTGCCTGGATCTCGGCTTGTGGTTGTGGCCACTTGCTGGCCAGACAGCCCTGAGGGTTTCCCTGGCCCCGTCCCACAGGACAGCAGGCCCGGGCCTGGGTCAGGGCCAGCCACCCCCCAGGTGGACCAGCCTCCCCTGGGGAGGCGTTGGCCAGCCTGCTGGTGACTCAGCCCCACAGGAGAGAACAGTTGCCCGATGTCCCTTCCTTCCCCTTTGCCTGGTCATTGCTGCTGCCCCAACGGAGCGGGGGCGGGAATCGGAAGCGAGGGTTCCTCCTCTGAGCTCCAGGCTGACAGTCCTGTGGTCGGGGCCCCACCTCACTCTCTCATTTCCTCCTGCCTGTGAGCAGCCCACCCCTCATTGCTGGCTCAGCCCAGGGAGGTGGGAAGAAAGTTGGCCCTGCCCTGGCCATAGGTGTGAATCTGCTGACCTCAGAGCAGGGCAGGGAAGGGACCTGTAACCGGAGGCTCCCAGGTTGGGGGTGGGCAAGGCCGGGGGGTGGGGCAGGGGGCATGAATCTTTGATGAGAGGCTCAGGTGTCCCGCCCGGCCTCTGGATTATTGATGGTGGCTGAGGAGGCATGGGGGGTTGTCTCTTCCCCTTCTGGGGTGTCACTGCCCTGGTAACACTAGAAGGGACGTGTCCGCCCCCCTTTGGGAGAGCTGCTTGGTGGCCTTCCCTCGCACAGCACGGCGCCCGGCGGTCATTAGTTAGACAGTGAGTGTGTTATTAGTGGGGGCCCCTCACGGAGCACTTTCTCCCGCTTACTCCTCACCACGGGCCTCCGCGTGGGGGAGGCCGAGCCCCACATTATGGAAGAGTTTGAGGTGCAGTGAGGTCAGGGGTCACATGCAGCGACGGGAAAGGTGGCACCCCAGAGGCCAGGTCTTCATCAGGGACCTGCTCGGGCTCTGCAGGTGGGTCGCTCTGCCTGGCCCCGTGGGGCTGTCTTCGTGTCGTGCTGCCCTGAGCACCAAGGGCCTGCGGGCTCAGCTGGGACCTGTCCACCCAGTGGCCTTGAGGGTGGTGCCCAGCCCGGTCTCAGGCTCAGGTCGCCCTGCATGAGGGGCACCTGAGGACGTGACCAGAGTGTGTTTCCTAAAGGCCCCCCCCTTGCCCCCGAGCTGCGGGCCCTATAAATACTCTCTGACCTCAGCCCTCCAGCTGTGTTCCTGCAGAATTCCCCTGACCTCTGCGGAGCCTCAAGGTCATGCTGGCTGGCCCTGTGCACCTGGGTTTCTCCCTGAACCACAGTGGGTCTATGATGTGCCATGGTTCCCTAGCTCCGACCACGACCCTCACCTCTGCACTCGGGTCCCCAGTCATTGGCTGTCCCCTCCCAGCTCTGTGGTCCAAGGACCAAGACAGTCTGTTTTGAGGAGTTCCTGAGAGTCACTCCTCCTCCATGAAGCCTTCCAGACTGCCTGGGGGTGGGAGCTGGTTGCCTCCCTGTGTCTGCGCATGCCTGTGTGTGTCTGTGTAACATTTATACATCCTTTGCCTGCAAACATGTCTTCGCCAAGCTCTGCGTCTGCCATTCATGTGTGTGTATGTGAGAACCCCAGGCATGGTGGCTGGGTGTGTGTGCGCCAGTCTAAAACACGTGTGTTTATTTGTGTTAGACCAGCTGAGCGTGTGCTCGTGGACGGGGGTGTTGGCATTCACACTCCTCTGCCACCTGCACGTGTTGACGTGTTACGTTCACATGCTGGGCTGAGTATGTACTGTTTGTTGCCACATGCAACATGTGCATGTGTGTGCATGTAGTCACCGTGGGCATAGTGGTCACCGGGGAACTGTCCACGTGTTTCTGTCTGTGGTTAGGACAGTACTGAGTGTCTCCCTGTCCAGCTCGGCCTGGCCTGCTCCAGAGCCCGCCCCCTCCCCGATGGGCTGTCCCGTCCCCGCTGCCCTGTCACCGGAGCGCCTCCAGCCAGGCGGCCACTCACCCGCCACCTCTGCTGGCTAAATTTGGGAGCTTATGTTCAGCCAGCTCGGGTTCCCGATCACATGGAGGGCTGTATTTAACCCGCTCCCCGCTCAGCCACCAGACCCCTCAGAACAGAGCAGGCCCTGCCCGTGTCCCTGCCGCCCTGCCCACCGCCGCTCATCCCCACCATGTTTCTTGTGCTTGTAGCCACCGAGCAGCTGAGGGAATTCTTCGCCAAGGCGCGGGCCGGCTCCGTCCGGCTCATCAAAGTCGTCATTGAGGATGGTGAGTGCCCCCTGGGAGGGGGACGGAGGCCGGCGCTGGACTCGCTGCTTCCCTGGGAGGTGGGGACACTGACCTCCAGCCCGCTCAGGGCCTCAGTTTCCCCAGCTGGGAACACGAGGTGCCTGTAGAAAGCGCTGGAGGTGGCGTGGTCGTTACCCTGTTAAACAGCAGGAAACTGAAGCTGAGGGGTAGCAGGGCGGGCCTGGCCTGGGGTCCTGCCCCGCGCCCCCCGCCCCCCACAGGCTGTGCAGGGAGAAATGGGCTGGGCAGGGGGCAGGGAACAAGCCAGGCCAGGCCCTGCCCCATGTGGCCAGTGCCACTCACCTCCATCGGTGGCTGCTGGCCAGGGGGATTCCTACGGAGAAGCCTCAAAAAATGCCCCCACAGAGGGGGAAGGACTCTTTGAGATCCAGATGGGTGGATTCTGGGCTTGGCCGGGCCTTGGCCTGGACCTGGGGACAGGAGCTTATGCGGGGGGCGGGGGAGAGTTTGAGCTGAGGCCGGCGGGGGGAGGGTTTGAGGAGGCAGAGGAGTAGATGACGCTTGTGGTGCCAGAACAGAGGACTCCTCTCCTCCTCTCCCCGCTCGTCTGTGCTGAGGGGCTGTCCCCGGAGATGAGAGTAAGACTCTGGGACTGGGAGTGGGCTGCCCCCCGCCCCTGCAGGCCCTCCCAGCCCTGCATTAGCGGGCCCTTCAGGGGGGCCGCCCGAATGGGCTTGGTGCCCAGATGGCTTTTCATGCATTGAATTGGCTCAAAGCAGGGTCTGCCCAGACGGGCCGTCCCCACAGACGCTGAGCTGGAGGACTCGGGGGCACGCACCGTCCCAGTCCCGCATGCAGTGGTGGGGCAGCTGTGCGTGCCCCGGAGGGTCCAGGCCCCCCGACGGGCAGCCACTGCCGCCTCCACCTGAGTGTGGTCCACTCCTGAGTTTTCTAGAGAAGCCAGGAACTCCCCTTCTTACGTAAAACTCCCCAGCATAGTGAAGGGCGCTGGCAGTGCTGTCGGCCGACTCAGCCTGCCACCCTGGCTTCC